CCATAAAAACATACTTGCACATAATTTTGTGTCAGGGCACACAAGGTTAAAAAAAAGAGACCTGCTTCTCTTGAAATGTCAGGATCTCACTTCTCTCCCTGATCATCAATCCAGTGATCTTGATCCCAGGACACGGTCTTTCCTCCACCCCCTTCCCAATTAGCCCTTCGTTTCCTGCTGAGGCACCCTCAAAGTTACTCTTCTCCAGGGAAACGGAAAGGGGGGAAGAGAGGAAAGACAGACCCCCTTCTTTCCTGTCTGAAGCTGGGCAAAAAGGTGGCAGGGGGGGCAACCGGAGTGAAGAAAGAGACTTGTTTATGCTCCTTTTAATATCTCCCTTCTGTTTTACATTTACGGCCTTTTCAAAAGATACGGGGCAGGCTCTGCCAAGATTCCTAAAGAGATATCCTGAGAAATGTAGACCAGTTTCCCAACCAAAATTCAAAGAAAACAAATTTCAGGCCAGCAACTGATATGAAATAGTTTAAAAATGAGAAAAAGCTGCCTCAGAGCTAGGTTTACATTAAACTACATTTCTGCCACAGGAGGGAGGGGCGCCTCCATAAAAACCGGTCCCGGCCAAGTTAAAAAGAAAACCAGGGCAGGGGAGGAAAAGGCTAAAGTTACCTGCCAGGGAGGTGTCCAAAATGTTGTTGGCAAAGAACGGGAAGAGAGAAAAGGATGCTGTTACCTTCTGCTCCATATATAAACTTGAGGCTACAGGAGCCGGGAAGGGGAGTCCTGGAACCTGTTCTGTTTCAAGAAGCCTCCCAGAAATACAGTGGTGCCTTGCTAGACGATGATAATCCATTCCACTGAAATCCCTGTTTAGCAAAATCATCGTCTAGCGAAAAGCATTTCCCTATTGGAATGCATTGAAACCTGTTTAATGCATTCCAATGGGGAAGAATCGTCGTTGTCTAGCGAAGATCGGCCATAGGAAAGCCGCTTTGCGAACCGCCGCTCAGCTGTTAAAATCATTGTCTTGCGAAGCTTAGGTCCCGAAAACACCTTTTTGCGAGTACGAAGGGACCTGTCAAAATCATTGTCTAGCAAAACTCTGTTTGCGAAGCAGGGGCCAAACATTGTCCAGCGAAATTCCCCCATAGGAATCACTGTTTTGCGAATCGCTATAGCGATCACAAAAAGCCAATGTCTAGCGAAAAAACTGTCACGCGGGGTAACTGTCTAGCGAGGCACCACTGTATACAATGCCATTTGGTAGCCCATAATCAATTTTCAATAGCCTGTCTGCTTGCTCCTAAATTCTGTGCCACAGGAACAAAAATCCAAACTGCGTAATTGTTGGTGCGGAGAGAGCTAGAATGAACCTCAAAGACGAAACAGCTCGTCAGCCCAGGCGGTTTAATCGTGAGACAGGGAGAGAACTTAAGCATCTCATGACAAAGGCTCTAGAGAGTGAAGCAAACTAGTTCAGGAAAACAGGGTCAATGTGGAGCTGGCAGGATCCCACCAGCAGTAGCCAAAGGCTTACAGAGAAGCCTTCTTAAAATGAGTTTTAAGACCATCGGTCCAGTGAGCTCGGCTTTTATAAAGCTTACTTTAATTGCCGACAAACCCCTTGTCGTAGCAAACCTCATGAAGTCTCAGCCCGTCAAGCAAATCCATGCAGGGGGAAGAAGTTAAAAAGAAGAAACCTGATGGAATCAGATTTCAGACCAGGAAAGAAGAAGATCAACAGAGAGAGGCTGCACAAGAGAAGCAGAAGGAACCACAGTCCAGGAGTGTAGCCGTGGGGGCTCTTGACAGGCTGCGGTCCAAAAAAAGCCTCCTGGAAAGTCAGGAGCCTGCCACCCACCCACCCACCAACCATGGTGACTTTAACTCACAAAAGTCCATCCCCTCCATGGCATTCCATGGCACAGTGGCAGAGACCCCATGATGACACAAGTCATGAAAACAAAAAGTTATTTAAGACCTTGTGGTTGGTTGGTTGGAGGAGTGTAGCCGTGGGGGCTCTTGACAGGCTGCGGTCCAAAAAAAGCCTCCTGGAAAGTCAGGAGCCTGCCACCCACCCACCAACCACGGTGACTTTAACTCATAAAAGTCCATCCCCTCCATGGCATTCCATGGCACAGTGGCAGAGACCTCATGACGACACAAGTCATGGAAACAAAAAGTTATTTAAGACCTTGTGCTTGGTTGGTTGGTTGGTTGGTTGAACTCACAGTGCCCAAGAAGGAGAGGCACTGCCCTCCATGGTCGGCTCTGGGACTCTATAGACCTCAGACTTTGCCATTCATTTCACTCTTAGAAGCAGGGCGTCGGCAGCTGCCAGTGGCAGAGACCTCATGACGACACAAGTCATGGAAACAAAAAGTTATTTAAGACCTTGTGCTTGGTTGGTTGGTTGGTTGGTTGAACTCACAGTGCCCAAGAAGGAGAGGCACTGCCCTCCATGGTCGGCTCTGGGACTCTATAGACCTCAGACTTTGCCATTCATTTCACTCTTAGAAGCGGGGCGTCGGCAGCTGCCCAAGGGTGCCAGGTGGCGATGCCTGGCCGAGACAGCCTGCTGTGCTAATGATCAATTTTATTTATTTTAAATATGTATAGGCTTCCTTTCTCCTAAAGCACTGGGTCCCGATCGTGTTCCGAGTCACGACCCCCTTTTATAATAGCCAAGTAACCTGCGACTCCCTTGCTAGTTGCAGCAACAGAGAAGGCCGCCTTTCCCATGGCCCCAACCAAATGGGTCGATTACACTCTGTACCAGCCCAGTTCATGGGGTTCCCCCACCCCCACCCCGCCCGGCTCGTAGTTCAGTTTGTGCCGATCTCAACTCATAAAGAAGAGCAATACGAAAAGCTCTGGTAAAACAACAGAATAAAACAATCCCGTTTCAAAATCCCCTTGGTCAAACGAGTCATTGGGAGGAAAGCCTGCCTGAAAAGAACAGTCTTGGGCTACTTGACAGAAGGAGAGCCAAGATGGGGGGACCAGCCTGGCCTCCAGTGGGAAGGAGTTCCAGAGTCCAGGAGCAGCCACAAAGAAGGCCCTCTCCCTTATCCCCATCAGATGAGCCTATAATACATGGTACTTAATAAATTTTCCCCTCCTAGTGTTCCTGTAGCACTTGTGAACCCATTTTTATAGTATGGGGGTTCCACCACCCCCCGTTGTCCGATGCTAATTTTATTATGGCTCTTGCATGTATATATTATGTCATTTGTTTGCCACCCAAAGGAGTGGCCTAAGCACTTGATTCTATTACTAGAGATTATCAGGAGAGATGGCACACGTCAGTGGCCGATTTCTTTGTGGAAGACGTGGCATGGCAGCCAGGATACTCCACTATGTCTCGTAAGGCTCTCTTTCTCTGTCTCCAATAAAGGTAATGGAAAATGCAATCATACAGCCTATCAAACAGATTCCCCTATGTTGCCCCCCACATCACCTCTCTTAGTTGGGGGTCACATGCTTGATTCTCTCCCTGCGCCCTTCTTTCATTAAGCCTCTTCTACCCCATTCCTCTCTCCCCACCTGCCCCCACAGAGACGTTCTGATGATCACAGGTCTCTTAATCCCCATCACCATGCAGCGGACAGAAAGTCTTTTATTTCCTACTGTATCCGCCATGGGGCTTTTTCCTTTCACAAAGGTGGTGTGATAGATTTAAATATCCAAGGGGCTTAGGAGACTCTTGTTTGTTCAGTGGGTGTGTTTCATCCTCCCGGATCTCACGAGTCAGATCTTAGCAGCCATGAACCAGCCGGGTCTCTCAGGGGCCACCCCTGGGCTGCGTCGGCACCAGCGCATTCTTGGCACTGGCCGAGGGTGTTCCTGCCCCACCCCGTTTGAGGTCTTACTCCAAGGTTTTTCGCTGAACAGAGGCTCGTTTTTAGGCACCTTCGGAGGGTCCCTTGAAACAGCAAACACAAAACCTTGCATGCATCTACGAAGCAAGGCCAACGTGTGCAAAGTTAGAGGAACAAACAAACTTCAACAGGAAAAGAAAGGAAAATAAACAAGTCAAGGAACATGCAAGGAATCAGATTCTTTGCATGTTATGCGCTGCCAAAGTCATTCCAATTCACAGTGACCCTTTGGATTAACGATTTCCAAAAGGTCTAGAAGGGACCCATTCCGTGGTCCTAGATAGAGACCGGGCTTGGTTATAAAGTTGGAGTATTTTTATCCACATTCCTTAACCATTATTACGGAATAGCTACAAACCAGTATGTGAAACAGGTTTACCAACCATGGAGCTTCCAGGGAAAGGTTGGCAAGTCTTGGACTTGGGACTTGGGACTTGAGTCCAAGTCAAGTCACTGGTGCAATTTAAGTTTGACTTGACAGCGAGTCTGGAGACTCAAATCCCCCTTCCTTGGAAGTGTCACATTTCCTCCAGCAAAACAAATTCTTCAATTCTACTGCATAGGACGCTGCTTTGTGTTGGACCAGGCCTTGCACCACCATACTCAGTCCGGCAGGGGCTCTCTGGACGTTCAAGAGAGCCACTTTTGGAAGCCTTCAGGAATTTCATGTCAGACCCTCTGAATGCAAAGAAGGTCTTGCTGTTGAATTATCTAGCCCATCCCCATTAGAACGTTTATCACTGAAAGGCAACCCACTCCTTCTTGTGATATCCCTCCCCCCAAAATCTTTGCTTAGCCAGCTAAACCATGGTTTGTGTCATTTTATACAGGACTGCAAACATGGTTAAGGAAGCAAAATAGTTTAAGCACTAGCCATAGTTAGTGAAATCCAGCACACTGCACCAGTATAACACCTTTAATCTCTCTCTTTTTTTTTAATGAAGGTATTTACGAACACAGAAACAGCATTCTGGAAATGCCACCGCAGGTGTTTACCTACCTTCACCTTCCCGGCGCTGGCATGAAGGGACCAGCTTACCCGCTCTGCTCTGATTCGCTGCCAGCAAATACCAACCGCGATTCATTGCCAGCAAATGCTGAGGTTGTTTTGATCATTGGGGGGGGGGCGTGACACAAAGAAAGCAATTAGGAGACACATACCTTCAAAGCAATGCCACGCCCCGCTCTGTCTTTCCTTCCGTCTGTCTGGCAATCCGGATGAAGAGCGAGCCGCCCTGCAAACCAGGGAGAACACGAACTGTCAAAGGTGAAGGACAGAAAGCACCTCCGAAGGGGGGGACCTTCCTGATCTCTTCCCCCCATGAATAAGCCCAGCCTCTCCCCTTTCCCTGCCCTTGCCGTGCCCTATAAGAATGACTGACAAGCTTGGCTTTAACGAAGGGATTTTGTGGGTTTAAAGCATGTGACCGTTTTGCCTCCTGTTTTGTCCATTAACCCCTTTTCGAAAAAAAAAAATATATAAGTCAGGTTTTCCTCTCTTTCTTTTTCCTCTCCTTGACTATTCTTCTCTTTCAAGTGGGATCCATGGCACAAAAGCCAGTAGGAACTCCCAAGGATCATTTCTTCCCCGGACGTTGAGAATCAACCCCTACCATCCATGGGTCCATGAACCAAGAGGTGGAAGAGGATTGCCCAGGCAGGATGCAGGGAGCTAGACAGAGTCCGGAAGTTGCTAGTTTAAAAACGTCCTGGTGAGTTTGTTTCAGTTATCATCGTCACCATCTTAGAACGGCAGAGCTGGAAGGGACCCCTTCGCGTCACGGAAAGAACCTGAGACTCCCAATGTCTAATATGCTCTCTGTGTATCAGCATGCTCACCCCACCTTGCGGTCAACCCCAAAGGAAGAGGGACGCTTAGAGAGGCCAGGATGATTCACTGAAATAGTTTGGTGGCAAGAAGACCTGCTGAAAACCAGGATCTCAGGATTTAGGGGGAGCATTACCCTCCAACTCCTTTCTCAGAAACCGGCCTGCTTTTATGGGTTAAAAGGGTTTTATTTTAGCAAAATCAAAACAAAACAAAAAGCACAAAACCACTTTTCAGACTTTTAGGAAGTTCTGTGACACCCCTTAAACGCTCACATTTCATTTGGCCATTTGCTTTTTCAGACGTATGAAACAAAGCCTCTGCAAACAGATCATCATCATCATCGCAGAACTTAAATCCACACCAGAGGAGGGAAGCAGCATGTACAACGTCCAACACCAGTGACTGGTGTTGCAATGGTCAGTCACGGTCATTTAATAGTCCTGGAGAGACGGCCGGATTCCTTTTCCCAAACTTTGCACACTCAGTCTTAATTGTGCAAGCCAAGGATAACAAGTAGATCTTGCGCTTGGAGTATGCCGAGCTGGTTTTATTCATGTTTTACCATAAGTCCTAGTTCATGACTCACAACATCCTGGAAAAACTTTCCTAAAATATTTTGTGGCAAGGATATTGATAGGTATGATCTGGACATATGTCGGAGCGTTCACAGGAAGGGTGCCACTGTGCCACCCTACCAAAACCAGAGAAATTATCCAATTCAGGGCTTGGTCCTTAGTTTTTAACCCGAAGGAGCCAAATCATTCAAGGATTTCTTCTTCCTAAGGAGGACCCTCCCCATATATAGCCAAGGTAAGCCTCCATTCGCATGAAAGGTACACAGGTGAAATGTACACATAAAATGTATACAGGGCGTCTTTTTAGTAACTCAGAAACAGTGGTGGGCACCACCAAAACCAAGGGCAAGCCATTCCTGAAGTCCATCTCTGAAACAACACTTTATGGGGTATGCCTGAACAGCTTAGTGTGATTTTAACAAGGCGGCTGAATAATAATATGCAACTCCTACGGTACTCTGTGGAGTTTGGCCAGGGCAGGATGATTCACTGGAAAACGTATAACCCACTTCTTGGACGTAACATGGGTACTTGGAAAACTTCTGCTCTTACACAACAGCTCTTTAAAAGCACAGCCCTCCAAACACAATCTTGGGAGTCCTAAATGAGAAATTAAGAATGTCCCTTTCAAACGAAGATCCCCCTCAACTCCCTCCTGTTTCCACCCTTAATAGCTCAGTCATGCTTAACAATGGGTGAGAAGGGTATCTTTTTTAAAAAAAACAGATTTTATATTGAAAAGATTTTCAAACGGCAAAAGGCTCAGGCACAAGAAAGCCATTTAGCCAAGTTTCAGATACAATTTTCATATTTTAAAATTTTTATTAGCTTAGCTTAAAACCGCTGAAAACACTGGATTTACAGTGGAAACTTTGACAGAACTTTTAGCTGTGGTAAACCAAACACCATGCTAACCCATTCGGCGCGAGGTGGAATTCTTTCCGTGAACAGATTCCAGACACGTGTTTAAAAACGCAACACCACATTGGCCCTTTGAGCAAAAGCTGTAGGCGAAGCCGAGTACCGTCAATCCAACAGTTAACATATTCTCTGGATACAAAATCCAACTATATCAGAGGGCGCAGTGAGCTCTGAAATCCTGGAAGGATGTTCCTTGAAGAAGTCAACACACACGTACCGGCAATTGTATTACAGTACATGGAAGAAAGCAGAGCAGGAACACAACGTGCCCCCTAGTACAACGAGCCACACACAAGATAAAGCTGCTGAACCGTTTGCTCTCTATCCAACTGTTTGTGTTTCACATATATGAGTTGTAAAGAAATGGAATCTAAGGGGAGGGGGGGGGAATCAAACAGACTTTTTTTTATCAAGTCCAGAAGGTTGATTCCCCCTCACTACCCAGTTGGGCACAATATTTTTCTTAGTGGTGTGTTTTAAAATTTTGTTGTTCGTGTTTTTTAATTGTGCCTTAATTTTTTTTTTGCTAACACTCGTTTTGTGTTGCAATTGCATTTTTCTCTGTGTGTGTGATGGAGGGGGAAGAGCATATTGGGCAAGGACTCAGGAGACCTGGCTTCAAACCCCCACTGAGCCACGGAATCTCGCCGAGGGATGGTCGTGGTCTACCACCCCTTGACCACCTTTCACACCTTGAAGACACTGTGAGGGCTGCCCTGTGTTGGAGGTGTCCTGACACTGTGCAATGACTGGACAGGCTGTATTTGAAGTCAACGAAATATATGAGGTTGCACTGGAGTATCTCAATTCATAGCAATGGTTGCTGTAGACTTAAATCAACTCCTGCTTGTCTCATTGGGGCGTTCTTCGTAGAAGACATTGGCCGGGCCTGACAAACCTCACCTTTGTTTTGTGCAAACTGAAAGACATGTCCTTTAAAAACACACAACTCCCTACAGCTGTGCTTAACAGAAAACATTCAGCAAGATTACGCCAGCAGCCTTTCATACATAGGGGTCCCAAAGTTTTGCGGACCGTTCTCCACCTGTCCAAACGAGCCCCTCGTTTGGACCTATGGCTCAGAAAGGCACAAAACATTCACAAGGCTGGATTGGTGTCTCTTGACCCGCAACACGGCTAGGGGCTCAGCTTCCGCTCAAGGAGGAGAGGCGGCAAACGGCTTGGCCCAGCTCAGTGGCAAAGCTGAAGAAGACATCACACGGAATGAGACTCACTAGTCCATTCCCCTCCGAGGAGTCAAGTCTCCTTAGGGCTGTGCCTTAATGGGGGCGTTGAAAATAGAGGGCGGTTCTTTACACGGTTTGGAAAAGTGACTTCCTTGACCAGGGTCATCGTTGCAGAGTTTTGAAATTCTGGTTAAAATCCCCTTTGCTACAAGTGGAGCAGAGGAGAATAGCTGCACGTTCCCCATAGCCCACCCCTTTCTCATTAACTGGCACTTACAGTCTCCATAACTCACTCTGAGACATTTGTAGGATAAAGGACAAAAAAAATGTTTCACTGCAGTTGTGGACAGATCAACGGCAAACTAACAGCAAACTCAGCTGACTTCAACAGACTAAAGAGAGGGAAAGGAAAGACTCAGCCGAGAGGCGGGGCTCTCTCTGATTTCACAGGCAGGGAAGGAAGGATTGGTAAGTGCTAAACGGATTGACAGTCACCCTTCCCCAGAAAGGTCCCTCCCAGCCATGCCTACTAGAGGCAGTATGCGAGGTTGTAAAAACTCCCATCAGTCATAACTAGCAATTTTTGGCACCTGGTGCTTTGCTCCCCTGTTGGTTAACCCTGGATCAAGTGATATGCATGGAGGGAAGATAGAGGAAGGAGAAGGAATACCTGGCTCCAAGTAGGAGAGAGCCATATCAACTGTTTTGCTTTTCCTCTGTCCAGAAAACGGTACCTGGAAGCTGTTGGGCTGGTTGGGTTCATGTCCAAAATTTCACATGTAATTCTGACACCCTGGTTGAACCTCCGGTTGCCCTGCACTATTTATGGCTGCGTTTTTTTTGACCACATTGAACAGGATTCCCTAGCCAGCATTGCCAGGAGTGGGCAGTGGAAGGCAAAAATCCTTGGGTGGCAGTTAGGAGATGGTAGAACAGAGACGGGGGCTTGAAAGCCCTTTTGTCATCTTCAGCCCATATTTGAGCAACCCTAACTTGAACATTGGCCATCTCTTGAGAAGAGAAGACTCCCTGGAGAAGACCCTGATGTTGGGAAAGTGTGAAGGAAAGAGGAGAAGGGGATGAGAGAGGACGAGATGGTTGGACAGGGTCACCGAAGTGACCAGCATGAATTTGACCCAACTCCGGGAGGCAGTGGAAGACAGGAGGGCCTGGCGTGCTCTGGTCCGTGGGGTCACGAAGAGTCGGACACGACTAGACAACTAAACAACAACAACAAACCTGAACATTAACCTTTGGGTAACTGTCCTACCATATTTTTTCCTTAGCACGCATTTGGGTACAAAATGTGCCTCTAGGAGGAAAGACGTGCAATTGGAAACTGACACAGATGAACTGGGAAGAAATGGGTGGATCTAATAGTGAAGCATCAGAGTTGATCGCTCAGTTTCCAGCTGCACAGATTTTTTTTGTTTCCAAATTGCACATTTTGGGTTCAAATGCATGCTTACAATAACCCGTGTCTCATCCATCTATACCATAGATAGTTATTACCTTGCAACTTGTGGCTCAGAACCTGTGGAATGACTGTTCGGCCAGGAAAATGGGAAACGCTTCCTCGAGATTTGCCTTCTAGGAGAGCTATAAAGCGATCTTCTCTCTGAGTCCTTGGGACTTCTTTCTTGAGCAGGGAGAGGAAGCCTGTAGCTCCCCTGCTCTATGGGATCAAGCAGGAGCTTCCCATCCTGCTAGCAAACTTCTGA